ATTCAGGGTGACATTCGACTTGGTTAACAGCTGGAGGTATACGAGCCACTGCTAGTAAATCCCCAAGCTTCTTCGATGAGAAATTGCTAACTCCGATCGCACGAGCCTTGCCAGAATCATAAAGTGCCTCCATCGCTCTCCATGTTGCCGGTATGTTGGTTTCAGTAAGGTTTTCAGGCTTAAAGCCCTCTGAACCCTTCTTCATGCTGACGGGCCAATGAATCTTAAAACATTTCATCACATTTTAGTGCCAAAAATTAATTTTAGTTGAAACCAAAAAGAAAACAAGGAAATTCTTGTATTGTATGACTGTACTTATATCGTAATAACATACCAGATACAGATTTACATAGTCAAGCTGCAAGTCCTTCAAAGTTGTCTCTAATGCCTTTGGTACATCTTCCGGTGCATGATCATTACACCTGTAAATCGTCATAATCAAATTGCTCAAGGATGTTATGTTTTCAAGGCATATGAAGAAATAGAATAATTCCCCTTAACACATACCAGAGTTTTGAAGTGACCCACAATTCCTCACGCTTTACTACCCCATCATCAAATAGCTTCTTCAATGCACAACCAATCTGCAGAAGACCAGCAATCAACATCAACAAAAGATTTTGTTTTTCTTATATATATTCCTATAGAAACTGAACCAGAACTTGTGATAAGAAAATTATGCGCTAGAAAGAATCATAACCTCTTTTTCGTTGCAGTAAAATCGAGCGCAGTCAATGTGTCTATACCCAGCCTGCATCAAAAACAGAGCAATACCTCATTCACTAATATTTTACATGGGGTCGTCATAATTAATTTTTAATCAATTGGAAATTAAAGAATGAAAAAATCCATAGTGGATCATGCATTCTACCAAAATTAAATGGAGGCATCTAAAAAATTGCTTATTAATTAATTAAAAGAACGAGAACAAATACCTTAATGGCAGAAGTGACAGCATCACCAACAACTTCAGGAGCAGCTTGCCCTGTGCCTAAACCAACTGAAGGGATTTTAGCACCGGTGTTCAGCTCAAAAAATCGAATCGCACCGGCCATTTCTCACAAAAACTGCCACACGGTACTTTCCTCAGCTTGGGTTTGCGCCAGTATTTGTGTGTAAACAAAATAAAGCGATCGTTGAACATGGACGCGTGCATATGAATAAATTAATAAGAACTAAAAACTGCTACGGAATCACGACAACATAATATCAACTTTTATGACGTACGTAGTGATTTCAGCTTCTGGTTTGTGGAAGAATTTTCACTTTTTGGATATAGATCATTTTTTATTTTTTAGAACAGGTATACTTGCAGCCTCCTCCAATGTGAAGGAAAAAAGAAAGAAAGTAAATTTACGTATAAAGTTTCAAAAATCAAAACTTAGAACGAACCAAACTGGGGAAAGTTTTCTCAAAATCACATGGGCGTTACTCTCTCTCTCTCTCTCTCTCTCCCTCCCTCTCTATGTGTATACATATATTAGAACTTGGTGAGAATTGGAAGGGTCAATTTCTTTTTTCCTTGAGAAAGTAAACGGTCAATTTTGATTTTGAGGAATAATAAATAAGCTATTTTTTACAAGTCTCGTTTGATTTTGACTTGTACTGTGCTAATAAGAAGGCCATAACAGTATGTTTTCCCCTCCCTTCCATAATTCTTACCATTTTAAAAAAGATTAATAAGAAATAAAAAACGTGTTGCAGAATTCCAATCACCTAATATGCTGACATTTACCTTCTGGTTTATGGAAAGAAATTTCCCCTTTTAGTATGCATATATATTTTTTTGATCCCCATAATATCTCATACTAATAATTCTAGACTAATCTCTTTCTATTTAGCATGATGCACAAGCTAAAACAATTATCTAAATAATTTTTAATATACACAAGAATTTAAAATCAAAACGAATTGTAATATGCATATTTTAGTTATTGAGTAAATAGCTCAACTTTCTTTTTATATATATAATAATAAACTAAATTTTAAAAAAGAATGCCATAACAGTATGTTTTCCCTTCCCTTCCTTAATTCTTACCATTTTAAAAAAAGATTAATAAGAATTAAAAAACCTATGACAGAATTCCAATCACCTAATATGAACTTTTATAACGTACGTAGAGATTTGCCTTTTTGTTTGTGGAAAGAAATTTCAACTTTTAGTATGCATAATTTTTTTTTTTTTTTTATCTCTATAATATCTCATACCCACAATTCTAAACTAATATTTTTATATTTGGTCTGATGCATAAGACAGAACAGGTGTCTAAATAATTTTTAGAGTAGACAAGAACTCAAAATCAAGATTATTTGTAATATGCATATTTAGTTATTGAGTAAATAGCTCAATCTTTTTTTTAATATTTTCAATCTATATTTATTTTTAAAATTATATTTATTATGTCTTTAAATAATGTTTAAGTTTTTTTTAATTAAATTTTTTTGCCAATAGACCGACTGAAATGTAAAAAAAAAAAAGTCATATGGCTTTAAGGGTTTTTTTTTTCATTTTAATTAAGAACATTTAGTAAAAAAAATGCTCATAGTTGAAAAAATTGATCGAAAAAACAAATTAAAGAATAAAACAATATTAAAAGAACTTAAATAAATACAATTAAAAACACTAAAGACTCAGTTTATCATATAAAGATAAATTGACATATTTACCCTTAGCTATCTACGTACATACATATATTTACAGCCCCCTCCAATTTAAAGAAAAAGTAAATATACATACGAAAGTTTCAAAAACCAAAACTTAGAAAGGACAAAACAAGGGAAAGATTTCTCAAAATCAGGTTTGGCTTCTTTACATATACATGTACTTAGTTAAGTTTTCATTAAATGTACGATGTGGATCAATCTTGCAAAATTAAGGGTTGAAACTTAATGAAAAAAAAACCTTTTAAGAGTTTGTCCCAAAAATGCTATAGAACATGGAGTTTAGAGTGAAGGACGGCGGGGACTTTTGGCCAGTTTTGAATAAGTTAAAACTTCAATTCTAAAGAAAAAAAACAAAGACAGGTGAAAACACACACACCTTCGCTAGTGAGAAATCGGATTCGTTCCAAGCGAATCCTTCAACGACAACAGCTATCACTCGGGTCAAGCTCAGTTGATTGAATGAGTCCGAGAGCTGAAGTAGCTCCTCTTTCCACAAAAAGACCTTCCTTTGAGTAGATATGTGAAAGCATGCTATGATGATTCGGAGAAACGTATAGTTTCTGAATCCATGGAAATGATCCAAGAAAAACACACACAACAAAGAGCCAAGGAAAGTGCAAAAACTAAGGAATTCGGTCCAAAATTCTAGCTCCCCTGAGCAAAGTTCTGCTGCCTCTTTTTGTTATTCTTTCGGATTGATTCATCCCCAACTCCTCCAAAGTACATATCCTATCTAATTTTTTTTTTTTCAGTTTTCAATGATTTTAAGTATTAATTTCCTACAAAGCTTTGGGTCCAAGCTGATGGAAGAAGGGCTTATTATTAAGACCAAAAGTTTTTCCCTATTTGCGTAATAAGATTTTATTATGCTATTAACTGGCTCGAGTGTTATAGAGGGTTTCAGTTAGCTTAGTGTTAAGTTTTGTGTACTCAAGAAAGATTTTAAGGAGCTACAAAAACATGAGAGAACTAGCTAGAGACAGGCGCGAAATTAGAAGCATAACTGAAATTTGCATAGTTTGTAATTTTCGTTGTAGTTTAGTCCTTAGGTTGTCAGCTGGTCTCATTTTATTGTCATAGTTTAGTTTTTCTTTAATCATGTCCTTATCTTACATAATTAAGGGTAAATAGAAACAAAAAGGGTTGTTTTTAAGTTTTTCTTTTTAGTCTATTTTATACCATGTCTAGTATTTCCATCTAAATTGACATAATTATATTTTTTTAATATGAAAATACCTTTGAGCTATACAAGAATATAATTTTATTTTTACAATAAATATTTAAATTTTTATTTCTTAAAATTTTAATGGTTGAGTAATTTTTAAATGTTTTTATTTCTCAAAACATTATGAGCAACCGTAATATTATATCCTTATATTACTCAAGGGCATGTTTGGAATGAAAAATATAATTCTTTCAATTTATATGAAAATTTTTGACAAAAGTAAAAATCCAAGAATTAGATACTATAATGAATACATCTAGAAACAAAGAGACATATTGGAGACTTGTCCAATTATATAAAAACACATGGAGCCATTTTTTTTTTTCAATAACAAAAAATTAAAAAGAAAACTAACGAAATTAACTAATTAATTAATTAGGTGAGTTTATATTTATGTTACTCATTAGTTAGGTTTTTTAAGATTCTATCTTTACCTAAAATTAAACCCTAACTAAGTAGTTAATTACCTTTATTTTTATTTGTCTTTTTTATTTTATTTTTTCCAATTTCTTGATGGGAGACAAAAAAAAAATGTTGAAAACATGTAAAATCATGATCATTTGGGACACATGAACTCAAATACCCAAATATATATATATAAAATAAAAAAAATATTAAAATAATATCAATCTAAATCTATACAACCGAGGGTTAACTTCTGATAAGAAAGAAAGATATTTTGGTTGATAAGTTTTGTTAGCACAAGTAGTCAAATAGAAATAAAATCATTACTGATATTAAATAGGAAAAAAAAAAACATAGAGCAGAGATACTTCAAAATTCCCTTATCTCTTTTATATAAGCAGAAGAACGGAGAAAGGGACAGAACATCCACGTAGGACTATGTCCTTATAAAGCAGCTTGAGTAATGAGCCCAGTCATCAACAATCCGTAATTAGAAGTTAAACCAGTCCAACCGAACGTGAGATTCTGATTCTGATTGAAGATCATAACTCATTCTCACTCATTTCTCTTCAAAACTAGATTGATTCTCTACTGAAAATTGCAAAGATATCTGTGACTGATTTGATGGAGAGACATTGAAATCTAGGGTTTTGCTTGAAGGGTCCTTTGCATAAGAGAAGGGCCCTTTGATTATTGAAAGTGGAAAATGAAGGAGATAATAGGAGGTCCAGGGACAGTGAGTGGTTTATTATTGAGAATAGGACAATGCTGTTTTGCTGCTGCTTCTCTTTCAATCATGGCCTCTGCCATTGGCTTCTCTAGTTACACTTCTTTCTGGTATCTATTTTTCAACTTTTCTTTTTTGTGTTTTATTTCTTTATGCTTTCCTTCTTCTTCTTGTTCTCTCTCTGTCTCTTTTGGTTCAATTGTTGTATTTTATTCGACATTGATTAGATTGCTTATTTAATGACGTTACATTATGTATCTAAGGAATTAGAATGTCCCCATTTTTTTCCCCTTTTTGTTATTTATAATTTGTTGAATTTTAATGATTTATCGGAAAATTATTGCTATTTGTAATTTGTTGAGTTTTAGTGATTTATTTGGGATTTAGACGTTTAATACAGATTGGGAAGCTTGCGTCTTGAAAGCTTTATGTGGAACTTGAACATTTTTAGTTTGTTTTTCAATTGTAGATGCTGTGTTGACTAATTAGCAGGAGTAAGGTGAAAAATATTTGCTGGATAAATGGCTGTGTGTAATGTCTCTTGAAATGTCGAAAATGAGCTTCTGTTGTTTGATCGCTAGTTTTGCTTCTTTGTTTTATATCAATGCCTTATTTCCTTTTCCTTTTCCAAGAGCTGGTTGTATGTTTAAGGAGTTTAGATTTATAGGGTTAGTAGAAGGGGCTCTAGCTTCCTGTAGGTTTAGCAGTTTTTTTCTTCTATCCTGATAATGTTATAGGTTAGTGGAACTAAGACCATGTTGAGCTAAATTGTCTCATTGATCCAATTTTAGTCAAAAGTTGTGCATGAATATATATTGCCAATAATGCTTATGCGCCGACTGGCCCTTACCAATTTCATGTATCAGCTATCATTTTGTTCCAATTGATTTTCTATTTATATAATTTTTTTCCTTTCAGGAGTAAATAGTTATACTTAATTAATGCATGCTAAGTTAGAGATGAAGGGGAGGAGAGACCATGAAGATTTACTGTTCCCCCCACACAACAACACACACACACACACATCTTGTGCATTTTTATTTTTATTCACTGTTGGATTCATGTTTGAAGAATTTGTCATTCATCTCTTTTGATGGTTATGTTCTCTGTTCAGCTATTTGATTGCATCAATGGGGCTTCAATTTTTGTGGAGCTTTGGACTTGCTTGTCTTGACATTTATGCTTTGAGGGGAAAGAAAGATCTCCAAAATCCTGTCTTAGTGAGTCTGTTTGTTGTAGGCGATTGGGTACTGCTCTTTTCCTTTAGACTTCTCAGTCGTGATTAATTTTCTCTTTTTCTGGAAAATTGTCTCATTGATTTAATTTTAGGCAAAAGTTGTGCATGAATATATATTGCCAATAATGCTTATGTGCCGATTGGCCCTTACCAATTTCATATATCAGCTATTATTTTGTTTCAATTGATTTTCTATTTATATAATGTTTTTCCTTCCATGAGTAAATAGTTATAGTTAATTAATGTATGCTAAGTTAGAGACGAAGGGGAGGAGAGACCTTGAAGATTTACCGTGCAATCCCAGACATAGCTAGGCTATTTGCTATTTGGTTTGTTTAGGATCATGATGAAGCGGTTCCCTCGTGACTGGTATCTAATGTTAACAAGGCTGTAAAAAAATGCCTGTCAGACGATGCTGTATGCTCATGTCAAAGGACAACAAAAGGATGCGATAAAGGACTTATGTATGCCTTTCAGCTTCAAATATTTTGAATGGTAAAGCAAGTAGTCATTGATCATAAATCTTTATGCAATCATCTAGTAGCCTATGCAAAAGAAATTGAAGCAACATTTCCCCCTTTTCCATTGTGCGCATGGCTTTAGGGATGACCACATTGGGTACTAGTACAATGTCCTTTCAACTTTTGTATATTATTCAGTGTCTCAGACTGCTTCCACATTTAATGATCTTATGAAAAAATGATTTTGAAGATATCCATAAGCAAATTTAAGCAAATAAAGCTGGACGTGGAAACATTATGAGGGTCTTGATGATTTAATAGAATACTCTTGAAGCTGAATTGTTTGTGTCTGGGACAAATTTGGGCTTGGACAAACAAACTGATTTCTTGGTTGCTGCTAATATGTCTTTGAATATTTGTTGCTTGTAAGATGTTGTAATGAGATTTTCCTCTTGCATTGAAATGATGCTAGGTTCCTATCTGGTCTGTCCCTAGAGACACTGGTTCAATTGTTGTTTTCATCAGTTTTGAAAACTGGCAAGGCATGTCTTCTTTTTCTTTTTTTTTTTTTTTAAACTAAATATAAACCAGCTTCTAACAGCTAGCTTGCGGACTTTGTCATTGGAAATAAGCTGACAGTGTATGGCTAGCAAGTGAGTTTGGATACTGAACGATAAAACTGGAACTCATGTTGGCAGCTTACCTTATTTATGATGTGAACTTGGGTAATAGTTAGCTTGACAAATAATAGCTTGAATTTGCAGGTAACAGCTATGTTATCACTTGCAGCTGCATGCTCATCAGCAGGAGTTGTTATTCTTTATGCAAGGGACTTGAACTTTTGCAAGATCCATCCAGATCTTCCATGTAGCAGGTATGAGATTTCCATACTCTTGGCGTTCATCACCTGGCTTCAAGTCAGTATATCATCTCATGTGATGTTGTGGATCCTAGCCTCGGTGTAGATGATACAAGTGTCTGTTTCCGAGAGTCACTGCATAGTGAATACACAAATGCTAATATTTTCTGCTGCACATGTAAATTTTTCCCACACTCTAACATGCCTTAATTTTGGGCAATTTTTGGAATTTTCCTGTTCGTTGCTACTTATTATGAGTTTTCTTTACGCACATGAATGTTTTGGTTCTGATCATATATTCATGTGTTCATTCAAGCTCTCCATGTCCTCACTTGCTTCCAAACTTTGACCTAAAGTTCGCGCAAACTTTAACATTTAGCACCTGGATTTGCAGTTCTTTGTTCTCTCAGGTGTCGTGTCATCTTGCCTTCAAGCTAACCTTCAGCTGGTAATTAGTAGACAAAATTCATCCGGGTCTGATGTCCATTTCTTTTTATTTATGGAATTTTCATCTTTGGTCAGATAATCCAAATGTAAAGTGATGGTTATGAAAGAAAGATCACTCATGCTCTGAAGGAATGCTCCTTTTCTTTTTTGTGCTCATTTTACTTGAGCCAATTATCCTTATTACTGCGATATAAGAGCGAAAAAAAAATTGTCATTAAGATAAAAAGCAGTGCCTACTGATGAACTGTGGATGAGTGATCAAAGACCCCTGCCTGCCTCGAAGTATTATAAGTTATACTTTCCCTAGCTCATTATGAGTCGATTTGCTATAAAAATTTATATGAATCAGTCATGAATATTGTGGATGGGCAATGGGTTATTGACATAGTTAAGGGCAGATTCTACAAGTCCATGATTCTTCATGAGGCTCAAAGTAATGGCAAGTTTGCTGATTGGTGCAGAAAATAGCTCCTCTGTTATAGTGTCCTATTTGAAAATTTTGTCCAGGGATGCATTTCCCTTTCGTTCATGGATAAGGCCATCTTATAGTTGTAACTAAGTTTGTATTTGGATTTTCTCTTTTCAGTTCTTCCGAGAAAAAAAAAAGGGGCCATATCATGGTAATCAAATTTATGGGAATGTATGTATATTCATTTCAAGCCATTCAACCAGAGCCGAGTCAGCTCTGTTTCCCTCTTTCCAACCCATCACTGGTCTTTCCAAATTGTTGGGAATCATTTGAATAGGTTTATCTTTCTCTCAAACCTGATTGTGGTTGTGCGTAAAATATGTCAGCCTGGCCCGGAATATGTGAATCTGGCGTTCCTGTTGCTTGCCTTCTGGACACCGATGAAGCTTGTTTTTAAAGAAACAGAATATTTGATCATGGCTAAGCATAAGTGTTTAGTTTCCATGATAGCCTCATTGGTAACGTGGCATGGCTATTACCATATTCATCAAAATATTAATAGTCCAAAACCATTTTTTTTTTCCAAAAATAAAAAATAAAAACACAAACCTGAGGGTGACTATGGAGATCCAATAATTTCCCAATGAGAAAAGAACATGGACCTGGTCATTTCAACCAAACCTAACGCATTAAAGGGATCCAGTTCATCTACCAATTAAACGGTTTTGATTTGATCTACACGAACTAGATCCATGGAATTACTTTTCCCAGCGACGCTTACTCCAAGCCCCAGACCCAGACCACAAAAGGCTGCAACTCGAGTAAAATAACCAATTCCACCACTCAGCACAAACAAGTAGCCTTAATTTTCTAGGAGCACGATGGAATTTTAACGTAAACCAAGGCCCTGTTTCTTGTTCTTTCCTTTGTTTTGGGCAATTCAGATTTTCAGCTCATGGTGAACGCTCAAGGGAAATAGATACAACGAGGCACTACAAAGTCTTACAAAAGAACAAGCATCTAAGAGGACCACAACACAAACAAGTGGACAATAAAGGACTGCAACAACAAATGAAACATCAAGTTTTTGCTTGAGGTCGAGGTCATCAGGGTATGCCAGGGGTCTTAGTTTGAGGTCACCATGCCGATGAAATTGATGAAAAGAATGAAAACTGCATAGTAATCCAGTGTGATAAGCAGTTCAGTTTACCATATGGTAAAAGCAAATGCTTCAATATTTTATTTATTTATCATTTGATACAAATTCATCAGACCAAAATCGCTCACTGTTGAATCCCAAACAGGGAAAAGAAATGAGCAGCAATAAGGGGTTGAAAATCAAGGACTGACAGTTTCGAGTGTTGACAAAAACGTTTTTTTTCCCCTTTCAGAGTGACCAGTTTATCAATTAGTAAGAAAGACCATGAACAGACAAGAAAAAACATCAAACCTCACATGACAATTTCTGGCTTCAAAATGCTAGACTTTATTTCCTTATGAGGCAGGACAACACCCCCATTACTGTAAACTTCATCGCCAACATGAACATCTTCTCCTAAGATTGTCGTGTTCTCTACATGAGCCCATCTCCCCACAGTTGAATGCCATCCAATGATACTATTGGAGATGCAAGCATGCTTCCTGATATGCACTCCCCGCATTACAGTGCAGCAGGAAAGCCTAACTCCTGAGTCTATTACACAACCTGGGCCAATTGCTACATCTGGTCCGATTAGACATCCTTCTCCAGTTACAGCACTCTCATCAACCAAAACATTTCCAACAATGTGTGGCCCAGTGGCTAGTTTTGGAGAGGAATTTTTCTGCAAAGAATCCAGGTATAGTCTCAGACCTGTAATGTAGTCTTTAGGCTGTCCAATGTCCATCCAGAACCCAGGCAGGACCATGGCATATAGCTTATTCTCTGCTGCAATCTCTGGGAAGACTTCTTTCTCTATTGAGGTGGGCCTCAATTCAATCCGATCAAGAACAGAGGGGTTCAACAAGTAGATTCCAGCATTGATCTTGTTACCAACAAATATTTTTGGCTTCTCTACAAATTTCTCAACCTTCCCGGTAGTTTCTTCCATAACCACCACACCATACTTTGAAGGTTCATCCACCTGTCACATGAAAAACTGGTTTAACACATGGAATGGGCTTGTTGCATGGGAAGAAAGAAACAACAATAGATTCAATTTACCTTGGTTACCATAATGGATGCCTCCCCTCCATGGCCTTGGTGAAATTCAATCATTTGTTTTAATGGATACTCACTTATAACATCACTGTTAAGAACAAAAAAAGGCAAACCAGAATCGTCAATGAGCTTTTCTCTAGCTAGAGCTAAAGGACCTGCTGTTCCAAGTGGCTCAGTCTCCTGCGAGCACGTGATCTTAATTTCAAGCCTTTTCTCGTATTCTTTCAAGAAATTCAGCATAACCTGCATTTTAAAGCACATAGGGCCTTGTTAAATATCCAGCTGTGACATTAATACATGAATATGGAATGGAATTTCAGTGGAAAAATGATCCTCTGAATTGTTGTTGTTACCTCTGGCTGGTAGTTAATTGCCAAAACCACTTCAGTGACTCCAATTGTTTTGAGGGCTTCAATCTGTTTATAAGAAATTCAATAATGCATTATACCCGTAGCTGACATATGCTATTTATCAGGTACAGAAAAAATAAATACAAAAACATGGCCAGGGAAGTTGCTAAGTCTCAAATGATGAGCTTCAAAATAGTAACTTCACTACAAAATAATAGATTTGTTCTGTTTTACTACAGCGCCAATGCCAAGAAGCAATTTTGAAGTTACTATTTACCTTTTTCTGTAAAGAAGCATCAATTTCAATCAATACTACATGCATACTTATTAGTAATGTGGGGGTGAGATTTCTGTACACAGAGCAGTAAATACTCCTATCTCCTATTATTGATCCATATCTACTCGATCAAATAACCCTCAACATGAAATTTATCATGTAAATACCTGATGCAGTATCATGGGTTTGTTAGCAAAATCAACCAGTGGCTTTGGTACACTGAGCGTTAAAGGCCTCAAACGAGTCCCAAACCCTCCAACAAGAATGAGTGCCTTCATTGAGTTAAGTTGTCAACCTAGATCCTCGTCTCCTGCATTGTCAAATACAAAAATTGTGGTGAAATAAGGTCGGTTGATTAGTTCAAACTAAAAAATATCACAAAAGGGTAATTTTTTATGGATTCGATCTCCAAAATAAAGAGAGACTACAAGCTCCTTTCCTAAAACCCAAATACAGTAAATATTCTATCTGAGGTTTAACAAAATCGAATCAACAAATCAAGTTAACAATAAAAAAGGATTATAAATTGATCTGAAAGCAAGAGAATTGAAAAAAAATTACTCTGTTGATTCGGCTTTTGAACTTGCTAATGCCAAATGGCCGGCAGTCCTGTGATTGGTAATATGGAGGGGTAATAGTGGTGAGAAAAATTAGAAATCTTAAACGAGACGCTGTTAGTTTCTCCAAATCAAGAAATGTGATCGCGTTCGCTTAAAGCGAGGCTTTTGACAGTCGCCTCCTCCTGTTCTACAGGCTTGCTCCTCCAACTCGACGGCGTCTCTTTACCGACCGAATTTTCAGAATATTCTTTGTTTATAAAAATTAAAGTTATAACACAAGTAAACTTTAGTTTAGCGGGTTGTGTGCCTAACTAGCTTTTTAATAAAACAAGATTCGAGTTCAACTACCTATCAATTTTTTTTTTTTTTTAAAGATCAAATTCATGAAAATCACAACACTTTTATAAAATCAAATCCAAAAAATTGATAAAAGATACTATTCCATTAATAAAATCAAGACACGTGCATGCTTCTTTGACGTCTTCGCATTCATTCTCAAGCATATTTCTCACTCCTTTTTTGTCTATTATAATCGAACCTCTTTTTTAATGTAATCACTTGATATTTTTTATTTTTGAGATAGATCATATTGAATATTCCAAATATAAAATGAAAATAGGAATGAAATGATTAGCAAAAGAAAACAAAAAGGGCAATTAAAAGGAACTCTCATGATCCTATAAATCAATATTGTTAGGAAAGCATAATAACGACTTTGTACAATACATTCATGAATTATAATGGAATAAACACAAATATAATTATGATAAGAAAATTACTTGGCCTTGAAAACAAAAGCCATTTCTTTATCAAACTAGTCGAGCTTTAGACTAAGCTTGATAGATCGCTATTGTTTTAAACTACGTTTGAACTCTTCCGTCACTCATCCCGAAACATCATGACCAAGTTATCTTAGTTAAGGTTTCAAACACATCCGATTTTCTCGGTGCATTTAATTAAGGAGAGATGGTCTTATAGTTCGATTCTAGCCACTACATGAATGGATATGTTCTATTTAAATATCAAAAAGGTACATTTATGCCTAGTGAAACTTTAAGAGATTAACTAGGACGGATCATGACAAATTATCAATCATGAAAATAATTGGATACCCATCACTAATGATAACTAGCAAGAAAGCTTAAGGTTTCGTGAGTGTTTACCTAAGGCAAAACTCGTTATTGCACAACTACTAACTCCCTAGATCCCGAGGTAAATATAAAATAATTATAAAGTGATATGTGTGAAGCATTACTCCATATCTAGTCTCAAAACATAAAATAAAAGACTAAGAATTAGACAACTAAAGAAGTCTGCTAGAGAAAACAATGCAAACTACATATATATTCATGAACACATTTTCACAACACATATCAACTAACAAACAATTAAAAGGAAAATCTTTCACTCAAAACACATAAACATAGAAATATAATTGTACAATTAGAGATTATTTTACACATCCATTCAAAGCTAGACCATAGCATGAGATTTCTCTAGTGGAGTCACCATTTTGTCGACAAGGTCCGCAAAGCGGGAGGATTTGCCACTCGGCTATTAGGGAGAGCTAGGAAACAAAAAACAAAATTGGTCAACATAGCTATCTAGGTAAGAGGTTGATTACGTATGGAGAAGATTTATATCACCATCATCTCATCCTACCCGAGGTATGTTGTATTGTACACGTGTAAATTAAAGTCCGGTTTTGTACATTCTACATATGCACAAATTAAAGTCTCGGTTTTATACATTATACACATGTGCAAATTAAAGTTTGGTTTTGTATGTTATATTTCTATATCTATTTGAGTGAATTTATTTTATTAAGATAAATTGATTGAGTAATTTATGATTTATATCGATCAAAGGCCTATACTCATATTCTAAGGAAAATGTGAATAGGAATGAAATTCCTTAGTGATTCGCAAACTTGTATTGGTAAAAAAAAAAAAATCTCATAGGATTACATACCCATATTGACATAATTAGGAAACTACTTGCGACTTTGTCTAGATAAATGGGAAGTCACCCGAAAATTTTAGGTCACATAAGTAAAGAGATAAGGGGTAATCGATGACTTCGTTTATACAAATGGGAAGCCACCGATAATACAAAATGAAAAATCATCCAAATAAAATAAAAATGGTGAGTCCTTTGCGATTGCTCGCTCCTAACGAAAATCATTCAATTAAAATAAAAATGGCAAGTCCCTTGTAACTACGACCTATAACAAAAATCATTCAAATGAAATAAAAATGATAAGTTCCTTACAATTGCAACCCATAAAAAAAATCATTCAAACAAAATAAAAATAATGAGTCCTTTACGACTACAACCCATAACAAAAATCATTTCAATAAAATAAAAATAGCGAGTTCCTTATGGTCGTAGCCCATAACACATATCATTACAATAAAATAAAAATGATAAGTCCCTTATAATTGCTACTTATAATAGAAATCATTCAAATGAAATAAAAATGATGAGTCACTTGTAACTACAACCTATAATAGAAATCATTCAAATAAAATAAAAAAAATTATAAGTCCACTTGTGATCATGACCTCATAACGTGAAATTATTCAAACTAAATAAAAGTGTTGAGTCCCTTATGATTTTAACCCATAATAAAAATTATTCTTATAGAATAAAAATGACAAGTCCATTATGACAACGAATCCATAAAAGAAATCATTCTAATGAAATAAAAATGGTGAGTCCTTTATAATTGCAACCCATAACGAAATTATTCCAATAAAATAAAAAATGATGAGTTCTTTGTGACTATAACCCATAACGAAATCATTCAAATAAAATAAAAAAGATGAGTCTCTTATAACTACGAGTCCATAATAGCAAAATAATAAATAATTTTACTAAAAATAATGAGTCATTTACCACTATAGTCCATAACAACAAAACAACAAATCTTTTAGTAAAAATGGTGAGTCCCTTCGGACTGCAACCATAATAATAAAATAGCAATTCATTTTAGTTAAAAAAACCAAGTTTCTTATGACTGGCAACTTTATCCACATAAGTAAAAAACCACTTGTCGGCTTCATTTTAATGAACAAAAATCAAGTAAAAAGATTAGAAAACCACTAATGGCTTTGTTCATATAGGTGAAAAGCCATTGATAGCTTCATTTTAATTGAACATAAATTGAGTAAAAAGGTTTGGAAGCCATTAGTTGCTTTGTCCATAAAGGTGGGAAGTCATCGATATTTTCATTTCAATCGAACAAAAATTGATTAATAAGGTTTGGAAGCCACTTAGTGGCTTTGTTCACATATGTGGAAAGCCAACGATGATTTCATTTTAATCAACCAAAAATTGAGTAAAAAGATTTGAAAGCCACTAGCAGCCTTCATCCACATAGGTGGGAAGCCACTAACGACTTCATTTCAATCATAAGAAATCAAGTAAAAAGATTTGGAAGCCACTAATAGTTTCATTCACATAAGTGGAAAGCCATAAATAACTTCATTTTCATAAACAACAACGCAACTAAACAGATTTGGAAGCTACCGAAAGCTTCCTCCACATAAGTGGAAAGCTACCGACGAGTTCGTTTCAATGAACAAAAATTGAATAAAAAAGTTTCGAAAACATTAATGGCTTTGTCCATATAGAAGTAAAACTACCGACGACTTTATTTCAATTGAACAAAAATCGACTAAACAAGTTTGGAAGCCACCGGTGGCTTTGCCCACATAATTGGGAAGCCATCGATGACTTCATTTCCATGAATAACAAATCACTTAAATCATGAGTTAGACATGAACACCAAGTAATCAAAATATCACATTAACATACTAGATCAATCATATCATTCAACATAAACATTAATCTTTTTTAAGTGCGAACACTAAGACTAGCACTCATCCCGGATAAACTATGAAATTAATTCATAAGCTCGATGCTCCTAAATCCATCATAGAGCGATGATTGTTAATTTTATCACTTGAAATACCTAAGGTCTCCGACTCCTTCAAGTTCGATACACAATAGTGTATCCGAACACACTTTAAATCTCAACAAAACAACTAAACATGCATTTATATATTTTGTACATCATAAACATGTCATTCGTATCATTTTAATCTAAAAATTGAATGGGTAAAAATATTCGAATGTTACCTCGTTACCTAATGTAAGTCAAAAAATGCTTGGATTTGTACCAAAGTTCTATTAGAGACAATTCCACTTTTTTTTAATCCCAATGAAAATTGATTGGTGGGGAAGAAAAGTAGTTACCCGTTAAAGTGCTAGGGAGGTTGCTGTGAAAATGATTGAAATGCCCCTAGTCATTGGTGAAATGACCAAAATACTTTTGGGGTAAAATATGGAGAATAAACGAGTGTTAGAGCATGTGGCACTCACATTTGCCAAAATTATAAAGTTGCCCCATAAAATAGACCTAATTTCTAGCCATCACTATTTGGTCGTTCGACCACCATTTGGCAAGTGAAGGGTAGGAGTGGCTTCATCTCGATCTTCTCTTCCCTTTGGTGGTGGTCGTAATAGTCATCACCACCTATGGAGGGAGACCGATGGCTAACAAGGTTTAACCTCTTTCTTTTTTCTTTCGACATTGATTATGGCAAAAATAGTAATTTTCAAAGGAGGAAATCAATAGAGAAAAACCCTAAAGACTCTGCTAGAACTTATATTTGGCCTTGAAATGGTTCAATCGGCCGGAAAATGGAAGAATACAAATGGGTGTACTATCGTGCGTCGGGTTTGGGTCATCGGTGGTTTTCCATCGGTTCGGCTATCTTCTTCCATAATTTCAAATCAAAGATGGTTAAAGGAGGCTACGGGAAGAGTTCTATGGTTGTGGTTACTCGTTGATATGATCGAAAAATGCCGAAACCCAAATGGAGTAAACGGGTCGGGCATTGTGGCCTTTCCCTCGTTTTCCGTCGATTTTGGGTGTTTTTCATTGGGTTTTTTTATATGGTTTTGGTCAATTTTTCGGGGAGCGTGTCCGTCTAGTTTTGGTTAGTTGATTTGTTCGGAAATCGATCGATTTGGGAAGAAAAGGATATGGGTCCGGTCCGGTAGGTTTTGACCCACGGTGAGAGAGAGAGAGAGTGTGTGTGTGTGTGGATTTATTTATTTTCTTTTCCAATTCTTTTTTTGGTTCCCCCTCTCTATTCTGATTTTTTTTTTCATGGTATTCAACTTAGTTAGTCCCACTCCTCGCTAGACTTAATTAAATTGGTTTAGGATAGTCCATAATTAAATTCATAGTCTCCACCTTTTTTTTCCCTCATTTTTTTCTCTTTTTTTAATTAATTTTAAGGATGTTTGATAACCTATTTAAATAGCTTAAAAAATTAAGTTGTAGTACTTAATATAAAAAATTTATTTGATAACTTAACTAATCTCATATTAAAAATTGAAGTTCGAGTCAAAATCTACTTAATTAAATAAGTTAAAATTTTTAAATTAAAATTTTTTGATTAACACTTTTAAATATGACTATATATCCCATTATAAATACCAATAAAACCCTAATCCTAACCACCCACAACCTCACTTTCTTTCCACACTCACAAAAGCGGACGAGACCACCCCTTCGCATACCAACAAGAGCACCAAAATGGGTGGGGTTTGATTTTGAAGATGATGGTACTTCATTTACTAAGAAATGGAAAAGACAAAAAAATCATGCATATCAATTGATCAAGGAACGATTCATCGTTGCTTTTCATGGGACAGGGGATCAATCCGGGTTTTATTTGGGCTCGACCTCAATGTTGAGCCACCAATTGCTAATGATGATAAAAGAACGGATCTAGTATGTAGTGATGGGAGACGAGTGCGGAAGATAATGTTGGTGCCCACCTAAGGCATCACATATCAAGGTGAATCAATGGTTTGGGACCCCCGAGCTTAGATCCGTTGTAAGAGAACAAATTGATATGTTAAGAAAATTGCATGAATGACGATTTTGATGATGAAACATTTAGGAGAGACGAGCTCGATGGACTCTTAATTACAAGCTTATTATGAATAATATTTCAAGCGATTTAAATACCATTATGCCTTTCCCATAGATGGTGATGTGTTTTGTTCTTTTATACCCCGAATATGTTAATTCTCGATTGAATGGGTTAGTTAAATTTATTACGGGAAACTATAATTTTGTGTGTTTACCTTCGATTTTAGTACTTATATTTTTATCTCTTAAACCAATAAAATTGAATGGAGATGCTTGCTTCTCTTGGTGTGACTGATTTTCCTAGGCTTGTTCGGGTTGCCCAATCGTTGTATCCGTTACACGGTTCGGCTTTTGAAGAGGTGGTCCTGGTGGATTTGCAAGGAGAGGTTAATAATTATTATTTAATTAGGAGGTCTTTTATGTGATTAAAATTGTAAGGTTAAATTGTCAAATATATAACTTTAATATATTTAATGATAATATTTATCAAATAATTTTATTATATTTAACACTTAATTTTCAGTAAATATTAAACGACTTATAAAGAACATATTAAATAATTAATTATTCAACACTTAAAATTCAATACAGATTCAACATTTAATTTTAAGTTTTATTAGACACCACCTTTTTTTAAACTCCTCAAAATAATGAGATTTCAATTAAACACAACACATTTAACTAATTAATTTTTTATTTACTTTCATCATTTTTTTTATAGAAAAATTAAGGCAAAAGATCCAAAATTAGGTGATAACACGCCTCATTCTGACACGATCTCTTCAAACATACCTGTTTCAGCAGATGTCAGCACATCTTCTTATAGTGCCAATAGAAGCAGTTGCATTCCACCAAACATGAGAGGAGGCTCCCAGAGAGGCAGCAGGTCAGATATGAGGCACAGGAATGATGAAAATTCAGTGAGAGTTGACTGCCTCTTAGAGGACACTCGAGAAAGTGATTTGAATGATCTCTTCCGCCCATTTGGACAAATAACTCCAGTGTGTGTTGCCACTGACTGCAACACTGGTTTGAGTAGAGGTTTCGGTTATGTCAATTTTGTTAACTGATGTTGGAATACATTGTTGAGGGAAGATCTGTGCAAAATGTGGTCATGCTGCTCTCGCAATTCATGCAAGTAGAAAAGAAAGACTGCAAGTGTGCAACACGTGATATGTATACTGGTAGAGTCTCGAGTCATACACGAGTTGCCAAATTTGGAGAACTTTTGAATTGCCTCCTCTGGAAAGGTTGATGAAAGTTATGATGAAATGCTATTGTTTGGACTCCTATTTCTTAGTTGTACAGACATGGACATCTTGGGAGTAACTGGGTCGAATCTACTGAATAAGAGGCTGATTTATGCTTATTTCTTGGATGGAAGACAGCAATTACAAAAATCCGAATGCACAAATTCTGCTTTGCTGTTAGTGAAATCAGAGGGATTTTACTACAGTCAAACGAGAAGCCACCAATATCAAAATTCTTCGAAGCGCTTATTGATTAATTGGCTATACTAACTCATGCAACTAGGTTTTAGACACCTTGCTAGTTGCAATACTAATGACGTACTCAATCTCATCTGCAACTTCTTTCATTGAAGGTCGATTCTGTCTCTTGTCATCCAAGCAAGCTGCTGCCAAGGATCCCAATGCCTTCATCGTCTCCAACTCCAACTTGCTGGCGCCTTCCTTAAGCACTGGATCAATAACTTCTATCAATCTATCTTCCTCTATTACATTCTTCATGTAAACCACCAAGTTCACATTTTCTTCTTCTCGGTTAAAATCAATGGCCTTCTTAGAAGTCAACACCTCCAGCAAAACAACTCCAAAGCTATAAACATCACTTTTATCTGTCAGCTGAAAATTACGGTAATATTCTGGGTCAAGATAACCAAGGGTTCCCTGAGCACAAGTGAAGATATGACTGTCATTGCTTTCACTTGTCTCCACCAGCCTAGAAAGCCCAAAGTCAGAAACTTTGGCATTGAGTCTTTCATCAAGTAAAATGTTACTGGATTTCACATCACGATGGTAAATGGGAGGCACGGCTGCAGAGTGGAGATAGGTTAGACCTTCAGCAGTTTGATGTGCAATGCGGAGCCTCCGTTGCCAGTTGAGTGGAGTCCACTTGCCGGAATGGTGGGAATGAAGGTGCTCAAAGAGGGTTCCATTAGGGATATACTCATAAATCATGATAGGTTGCTCAAGCTCGACGCAACAGCCAAGGAGTCTTACAAGGCTTCTATGATTCACCTGGCAAAGAATTCGAACCTCGTTAATAACTTGATCAATGCCTTTGGTGTTTCCGAGCTTGGCTCGTTTGATGGCTGTTACCGTTCCATCATCAAGAATGCCCCTGAAGACCTCACCAAAACCACCAGCGCCAATGAGGTTGTCTTTGGAGAAATTGTTGGTGGCTTTTCTTATCTCCTTTCCTGTAAAGATTTTGGCTGATTTGCCACTATGTTTGGCATTTAACATCTCTTTCCGCTCTTTTATCAAATTCTTTTGGGCTCTTTTGGACCGATTTTGCTGCTTGAAGAATAGAACACCACCGAGGACCATGACTAGGACAGCAGCCCCTCCAACGGCTGCGCCTGAAAAGATTTATAAGACAATTCAATCAACCAGGGAGAAAATATCATTGTGGTTACTTATTCATCAAAGTGAAATCGTTGTTGCTACTTAATATGTTTACTCAATATGTATATGATAATGCACATATTTGACATGGAAACACTATGGAGCAAGACTGCAAAAGCAACAGCTTAATTTGGAGGTTGTACAAGCAGCTTCCAAATGTAGGAAAAAAAAAAAAAAACAAAGAAAAAAAGCAAAGATACATAAGTTCACATCACTTAATGGGAGTTGCTATAGCTCACCCGCAAAGACAGCTGTCTTTTTCTTTCTTTTTTTGCATACTTTTCCAGGACGACACTTCAAATCTACAAAAGAGGAGATTATAAATTGTAAGAGGGAGATTCACTGGAAAACTCTCTTTAAGTTATTGAAGAAAAGAAAAAAAAAAAAAAAAATTGAAGATTAAACTTACTTTGACACAATCCGTTGATGGGGTCCCATTTAAATCCAGCATCACAGAAGCACCTTTTCTGTCCTAAGCTGATTGGATCAGGCAAACATTTTGAGTACAACAAGTCCTTGCAGTCTACTGGGATCATGCAAATCGGCTCCTTTGGCAACGCCCATTCGATCTCCACGCCAGGCTCAGGCCATTTCTCGATCGCTCCCACCTTCTTAACATCCAGGTTGACGAAGCTCTGATATGCTCCACACCCTCCATCATAGACCTTAATCATATGCGCACTTTGTAAGCCACCAGTCTTGAATGTACAACACAGTGGTGCACTAGCACAGGCTGCGGCGTTCTCTTTAATATAGTTATGACAAATGCTACCAGTTGCACAATCTATGGGAGGTTTCAAGTGTAACATTTCATTCTTACAATTAAGCAACAAAATGGTGTTACTACTAGTGATGCTAAAGGGAAGATTGCGATTGAGCTGGATTCCTTGGCTATGAAAATCACTTGAGATGCAAGTCTTATTTGCTAGGCTTGCAGGTCTGATAACTACCCGTCGGAGTATTGGGTTAATGGAAGTAATCAGGTAGGATGATCCGTTTAGAGCATCAAACCACAATTTTCCCAATGTACACCTGAGCTTGTACTGCTGGTTGCCACAATCAGGCCCGGTGCTTAGTGGATATGGCACCGGAGTAAGGCCACAATTCCCACAATGCTGCACGGCTGTGGCACACCAGGAACATGATAACATTGTAACCATAAGAATCAACATTGATGGAATGCTCGTCTCCATCGATAAGCCTTCGTCTAAAGATGCAGAAGGCACAATAGCGAGGCGAAGCCTGATTATAAACTATGGTTACGCTCCTACTACATGTTTTGCTATGCTAATATACTGAGTAGGATTTGTGATAGTGTAAAGACAGAACTGGTCAAGCTAGTCATTTGTCCGATCGGATAGGAAGGATGGACAATTTTGACTTTCAATTAAGAGTTAAGACCCAAGAGTGCCGTTATTCGAAATGCGCAAAACAAGGGACATCTGTCCAAGTTCTTACATTGTACAATGCTAGTTTAGATTTTCTCAAAAAGGGCAGCATTTTCTTAAGAAGATACGTACTTAGTTCAATGTTTTAGAAATGAAAACGATGATCGTTGTGCTTGAGGACCACTTTCTTATTAACCAAGGAGGCACATGCAAATTGTCACTTCCCAGCTTGATGTGTCGTGGATTGACATTTTCATTAAAATTATAATACGTAGCTTACGAAGGCAGTGGTGATGGTTGAATGATTGCTGAGATATGGTGCTTATCAATTAAACCCGATAAATTTAGTGTTATGTGTTTATGGACCTTTTTTTATTGGATTGCATGGGATAAATCTGTCAGTCACAGCTCATATATGTAACTCATGGAAATTAACAAGAGACATGCTTTGGCTTGGGTCGAAATCTTGAATAGAACTAATCTTGGACGGTTCTCAGTCACAAATTTTGTTTCAACATCGGTGGAATAAAATATGTTGGATGTGTGATACGCAAATGTTAGTACTTTGCACAAGTTGTTTTCCATGTCGGCTCACGATTTCGAGATCCAAAGTCAAACTAATTTTGTTTAGCATCCCGGTTCTGTTCCCTAATTAAAAATTCCAAAGTGAACAAACAATACCATTCCCGAACAATTTTCATTGGTTTCGCCTCATACTGGTTCTTTTCTCAGTGGCAGTTGGTGCGTTGACAGCACGAAAAATGCTTTGTATCTTATTGAAAAGAAGAATGATCTACCATAAATTAGGACCTAAGGAAGACCACAGCGATATGTGGACGTCTTGATTGCGCTGGAAGGGCTTTAGGATCGGATGAACAGTAGTGGCCAAGTAATAACTCCTGCATTCTGCTAATAATTTCAGCTTTGGACAATGGATGCTAAGATTTCTTGCGAAGTAAAATATTAAACGTAGGCTCCTCTCATGTTATTTCAATTTGACTCTCATGTTATTTCAATTTGAATCTGATGATCAATTTGTTTTCCATCTTTCAGTTAGTAAAACTGTTTTCTAATTAAGAAGATGAATGTCATTTACGTAGCGAGCAAGTAATCCAAATTCCAGAAAATGCTTGTATGTTAAGAGTGATAGGTTCTTTCTCTATGATTCTCTTTGGTGTTGTACAATATCAGGCATGTATTCCTAGACGTAACTAATTTGCAGAACAAGATGGCGTGACCTAGCTAAGGCGCATGAACTAAAATGGTACTTCTCCTTTTAAGTAGTTCAGAGTTCAGCCAACCTTTTGGCTCCCCAAAAAGGAATGATGCACTCTCTAAACGTAAGCAAAAAGTCATTAAAAATTTTGAGTTAATGTTCAATTGCTCTTTCTCTATCTCTTGAATTCTCACAGTTGGGGTCTTACTAAAATTTTGAGTAACCAAGTTTTTATTGTCTTCTTTCAGGCGTCTCCGTATATTGATATTCTATAGAAGAAATAGCTAATGAAATGGGTAGGAGGAGATCTGTAGAATATCAACCAAATCCCCACTCTTGTACGCAAATCTTTTTGGGAAATTAAAAATTAACAATCCCAGATGATTCATCGCGCATCCACACTTTTGCCACAACTTATACAGGGCTCTTAATATTTTTCGGTTTGTCCTTTGTTAACTTCTAAGTGGAGGGCCGCAAAAATTGGCCTGTACTGGTGCATTACTGGAGCTCATCATGACTTGAGTCGGAATCCTCTGTTGTAACTAGACTAAAAATACCAATGTCTAATTCTTATCTTCCATTACCAACTAATTACTAGCTAACCTCTTTTAAGTACATGATTGATCAACAGTAGCATTGGTAAGTTGTTCCGAACATTTTCTAAGCAAGATATCAAATTCAGGTGAATCAGAAATTTTAAAATATTCAAAAAATAATTATACATATTTATTTTCTATATTCATTTTTTAAAAAAGAGATAAACATAGAAAGAAAACCTCATCTGAATCTATCTAAAATAATAAAAATATTTTTACTTAAACTCAATATTTATTCCAATATTTCTTCTATATGCAGGTGAGAGAAAAATGGGAGAGGAAATTAAAAATAAAAAAAAGGATAAAAGAAAATATTCTTACAATTTTTTTATAGATTTAAATGTAATACAAATAAGAGAAAGAATTAGAAAAAATGAAAACAATCTTTGCCATTTTTATAGATCTAGATGTGATTTTCTATTTTAATGTCTATCTATTTTCTTATGATGAGTACATAAAATAAATATTGATAGTTAACTATAAAATTTCTCAACCTTAATGTTTTGTTGGTTGCATTTTCAATTAATATATATTTTTTTTATCTTTAGCATGGATGGTAAATATATTATATTTATGGAGGTATAAATTTAAAGTGCAGTAGCATATTGCAAATTACAAGTTTTCATTTTTCATCTTAATCAAAGGTCCAAATCTTTTTTTTACTCGTCTGATTCAACCAAGTTTTAATCGGGTTGCCAATGTTTTGTCGGGTTAATGGCCAACGGTTCAATTACAACCCCAATCCAAAAAAGTCCGCGAGTCACCGATTTTTTGAGTTAGTCCACCTCGTGGAGCGGGGTTTGACAGCTATAGTAAAGGGCGAATGGTTTAGAAGAATTTGCATGCAAGGTGCCTTTGGTTTTCCAAAAGAAAATCAAAAGCATAATTGATTACGGTCAAAGGTGGATATACGCCCTAACAGGATTAGTTTTTTTATCCATGATATACTATGAGTTAAATAAAATATATAAAATTATTTAAAGAAATCATTTCAGTTTGATAGTCTCTTTTATAATATAAATCTATAAAAATATATAAAATCAAAAGTGAAAAAAATATAATTTTTTTAATAAAAAATTTTGTATTTAACTATTTCTTATTTGAGTTTTTTCATCCACGTTACACTATGAGTTTGATAAAATATATAAAATTATTTAAAGAAATCATTTCGAGTTTGATAGTCTCTTTTATAGTGTGAATCTATAAAAATATATAAAATCAAAGGTGAAAAAATTATAATTTTTTAATAAAAAATTTTATATTTAACTATTTCTTATTTGTGTTTTTCATAATTTTTTCTTTAGAAAAATGATTTATCCTTTTTAATCAATGGATTGTTAATTAAAAAGAAAATTAAATAATTTTTTTAAAAAAATTAGTATTTCATAAGATTGTGTCAAAAAACATAAATAACAATTATTAAAAGCTTATATAGAATTGAACAAATAATTTTTTTTTATTTAATGTTGATGAGAATATCGATTTTTGAAAAAAATATGAATTTAGTTTTTATATATTTATTTACAAAAGAATGAATAATATTAAAATAAAAAACTATATTAATTTGAATCATTGAGTAGTTAAGCCAAAACATTATTGTAATTATTTAATTTAAAAATAAATAAATAGTAAATGCGTAGTTTAGAAAAATAATATTATTATAATATGATCATAATAGTAATAACATATGACTATATTAAAAAAATAGTAAATTAAAATAGTAAATTTTAAATAATTAAAATAATTAAACTAAAACACTAAAATAAAATGGGACCAAATCACAATACAATTAAAGTTTGAAATTAAAAAAAAAAAAGTATAGAAAAATTGAGGATCAAAGTGCTAAAAAAATGACATGAATAATGAAAGGAACAAGTGATTTGTGAGTGTGTGAATAGTATTTCAAATAGTGAAAATGAATAGTAAAATCATGTTTTACTTTAGTTTTTTTAGTAATGTGCACACCAAAAATGGTTGAAATACTAATCGATTATTATAATATATAAAATAGTGTAAATGGATCAATCTGTAATTATATAATTGGTTAAATTTTTCAATATATCTCTACATTTTTAATTATGTATATGATATCTTTATACATTATTTAATTCTTCAATTTATCCTATATCAAGTTTTTCTTTCTAATTTGACATATTTATTCTTTTCATTTTAAAAATATCTTTAATTTATTTACGAATATAGTAAAAAATTGTTTAGAATGTTTGAAAAAAAAATTGAAAATTACTCAACCATCAAAACTTTAATTGTTTTTCAAAAAAACTAAAATCATAATCTTGTATAGTTCAATTGTGTTTTCACAATGAAAAATACAATTTCTCAATTTGAATGGACAAACTTGACATAAGAACATATTAAAAAAATTATATATCATGTAAAAACATAATAGTTAGAATTAGAAATATAATGACATTTTAGCGACTTTCTCACCTATATATAAGGATAGATTGAATCATATATATATATATATGACAAGACCATTGTTATACATTAAAGTTGGAGGACTTTAGCAATAATAAATCAGGTCTCACGTAGCTCCAATAGGGATGAATAGAAATATATGATTAGGGATTTTGGTATAACTCTTTAAAATAAATTACTTTTCAAATGAATAGTTTATAGGCTAATTTGTTCTATAGTATTATGAACTTTGGTCAAATGAATAAAGGTCTCTAACTTTTATTATTATTTTTTATTTAGGTCACAAACTCTTTTTTTTTTTCGGCAATCAAGTCTTGCATTCCCATTGACTAATGTTCAACATATATATATATATATATATATTACACATGAGAGTAAAATGATCCAATAAAATAATGACACGTGTCTTGGGAGACACATTCTCGGGCACATGAGTTGTGTCCGTTTAAGTTTGAAAATTTAAATGACTAAAATAGTCCCTAGCCCTCGTTCCTAAAATCAAAACACAAAATCCCTAAAAGAAAAAATCATTCTTAAGCAACTAAACAACACAA